CCCAGGACGGTCCACCCCCCTGGAGCAGCAGCCTTGAGCCTGCTCCTCCTCTGTGAGCCCCAGCGTTTGCACGCAGCTTGGGAAGGTGCTTCCTGGCAGAGCTTTGGGTGTCTTTCTGCCAGAGACAGCCAGGGAAACGTTTTGGCACGGCATGGCCTCCCTCGTGCCTGTGGTTTTTCCTTCCTCTTTGTTCACGTCCCGGTGTGCTGCGCAGTGGGGATGGTACTCAGCCTGGCCATGCCCCTGTGCTCTCTCCCGAGGCTGAAGGGCTGCTTCTCTCCGCAGGCTTCATGGGCGCAGTGAGGAAAGTGACCAGCAAGAATCCCTGCACAAACTCCTGACATCCGGAGGACTGAGCGAGGATTTCCGCACCCCTTACCCTCCCCTCAGAGCTAACGTAATTGAAGCTATTAATGAGCTGCTAATAGAGCTAGGTACGGATGGGACTCAACTGCCCCATGAGTGGAGCTTCTTATGGGATGGGAGTGATGCTTCCCCCTCCTCTTAGGTGGAAAGAAAACGGCAGGGATCTGGGAGGCTTAATCTGAGGGAACTAAGGAACTGAAGTCCTGCTGTGCTCCCAGAGCTTAGACCAAGTCCTCTTTGGCTTACTGGGAGATGGGTGGAACACTGTGGAGGGAACAGCATGGGGGGCTGTTGGCCTGTGCTCTTCTGGGAAGCCTTGAGTTGAGGCCTCTGAAGAAGACTATCAAAAATATGCTAAGGTTGGCCTTAATCCCTACGCACATATATATATGACCTGACCCTTGTGCACAGAGCACTGTGATACATTTTTTCTTTTTCTGCGATCTTGTGACAGATCAGGCACCCAACTCTCCTTCTGAGGCCCAGGTTGCCCTGCCTCTGCTTTCCACGTGGTTCTAGTGCCCACTGAATTTCTGTCACTAGTTGTTGTGTGGGCATGGTGGTTGTCGGGAGTGGTGCTGGCACAATCCACTCCCCTCATCAGGGAGTTTTCAATGCAGCTGTTTCTTTGAGTAAGCTAGGGAGCATGGGGTGTTCAAGGGCCCTCTCCACTGGTAAAAAGAACAGGGAGAAAAGCTGCTCCTGCTCTACCAGTGCTCATAGCACCACTTTAGTAAAAAAAGGCTCTTGTTGGAGGACAGCCCTAGCAGCACAAGTATTGCTTTTCATGGCTGTTTTTCTACCCATGGCTTCCTTCTGTTACAGAGGGCACCACTGATAACATTGCTATGCAGGCACTGGAGCACATCCACTCCAATGAGGTGATCATGACCATTGGCTACTCACGCACCGTTGAGGCCTTCCTGAAGGAAGCTGCCCGCAAGCGGAAGTTCCAGGTCATTGTGGCAGAGTGTGCGCCGTTCTGCCAGGTGAGGCCTGGGCTGGCTGTCTTCTCCAGGCGCCCCTTTGTCCTGCGCGTTCTTACTGAACTCTTGTCTCTGGAGGCAAGCTGAAGCTTACAGAAGTTCCTCTGCAGTTGAGAGATTGGAGGCAGCTTGTTGCCTTACCCTGTATCCTTCAGTTGGAAGGCTGTATTTGTGCTCCATCGCTCAGTATTTTTGCAGTTCAGACAAGAATTGGGTGCTAATAGCTCTACAATTGCACTGCAGGAGCTATGTACCAGGGGACCAATTGGATTCTCCCTCTTTTTAGGGTCACGAAATGGCTGTCCGACTATCTAAAGAGAACATTGAAACTACTGTCATGAGTGATGCCGCTATTTTTGCTGTCATGTCTCGAGTCAACAAGGTGAGGAGGGAGTTTGTGGCAGGTTGGGTGCTTAGGCCTCCCGAACCAGCTGCAGGTCCCAGCAGTGATGGATGCATTTCTTCACTGAAGACTCAAAATTGTAACGGTTCGTATTTACAGCTGGGGTGGAGATTCAGTGTGGCACCCCAAGCCAGTACGATGACTGACTGCACGGTGGTAGGTTTTTCTGCCTTAGTGGCTAAAAGGCAGAAAAGTTATAAGAAACCAAGCCAGGAGAGCCTCAAAGGATTAACCTCAATTTTTAATGAAGATGGAACAAAAAGCAGCATTTCCAAAGGGGAGAAACTCCCCTTGCCTGGCGCACAAGATCGGTAGTGAAGGGAATCAACAAGGTGTGTCTTTTCAAACAGACTTGTTCTGTACTTTTCTAGAGATGAGACTTGGCACCCCAAACTAAAAAAAAAAAAAGTACTCGCAACATAATAAAATCCAGCCACACCACTTCTTATTTATATATTTTAAGCTCCTTTACATTATTCCCATTTTACAGCAAGGAATTGTTGCAGCTAGCAGTCAAGTTACTTGTACAAAGGTTACTTTGCAGACTTGTAGAACAACAGGGAACACAGCCCAGTTTCTGCTCAGTGTTCCCTGCAGTAGAACACACATTTGTCCTCTGAAGTTCTCTGTGCTGGCCTCACCATGGTGTAGTCATGCTCTTGTTCGAGAGGAACATGTTGGTGCAGAGCCTGTGCCAGATGAAACAGATCAGGCATCCGGCTGCCCTATAACTCCAGCCTTTGGCTGGCTGGCTGTTCTAACAAACCTCCTCCAGCTCATCTGGCAGGGTCCATGCCAGAAAGCGTTCCTTCCCCATTTTGCCGTGGAACATACTATCTAATGCTGATTTGCCTTTTAAGGTCATCATTGGTACAAAGACAATCCTGGCCAACGGCGCCCTGATTGCTGTGAGTGGGACTCACACTCTGGCACTGGCAGCTAAACACCACTCCACTCCGCTCATCGTGTGTGCCCCCATGTTCAAGCTTTCACCGCAGGTAAGTACCGCAGCTTTTCAGGACTGCACTTGCTGTGCGTAGAGATGGGGGTGACTTTATGCTTGTGGAAGCTTTGGGTGGAGAGCATCACCTGTGCCAAGGTGAGGCTGGTAAATGAGCCATCTCCCCCATCTAATGCTGTTACTGCAGATCCTCACCCAAGTCTGGCACATTCAGGATCTCCTTGAAACAGTCTCCTCTGCCACATGTGCTGAGTAAGCAGTGAATTGGGCATAAGGATGTAGACCACTGCCTACTAGAGACTGACATCACCATACTTATTTTTCTTCAAAAAGCAGATTTCAATTTATGTTTTTAGTGTTGAAAGACCCTCTGCACTGACAGAAGAGGTAGATGGAGATGCTCTAAACCATTTCTTATGCTCAGTACTTTTTCAGTATTGTCCGATGAAGTTGCAGACTGAGGAAGTTGCTTCTCTGTTCCAGTTCCCTAGGCTTTGCAGAAGGACAGCCAGGTCATAGAAGGGTCTAAAGGAAAAACCTTTCACCTGTAGATGTTACAGAGGTTCTAGGCTCAGATACTATTGTAATTATTATAAACAGATGCAGGATCACCAAGCAAGTCATCTTCCTCTGCTTTAGTTCCTTCTAGCACCCAGGATCTGTTTTCACTAGAATAATGAGGCAGGCTCTTTTTTCCTGACCTTCCTGTACTCTGTCTCATTCAGTTCCCTAATGAAGAAGATTCGTTCCACAAGTTTGTGTCACCACAGGAAGTGCTGCCATTCACTGAAGGTAATGGTTCTTCTTTATACAGGCTGGTCAAGCTGGTTCAGGCTGTAATTTTAATGTTGGGGTTTTTTTTAATAGCTCACATAAAACTTAAATATAAGACTGTCCTGTAACCTGGGACAGAAAATCCTTTCCTGTTGTCTTAAGCAGAAAAAATGTGCTGGGAACCATCCTATTTTATACATAACTTTCTATTACAGAAAGTACAGAAAAAGGATTTTCTTTAAACACTATCTTTGCACTTTTGCTTCTGCTCTGAAATAGTCAGTGTTTTATTACAGGATCGTGATAATGGTGCCGGGCAGGTGGCAGTTTCCTGTGGGACAGAGCAGATGCCCAGCACTGAGGGCAGCTTCCTTTCCTTCCCACAACTCATGTTAACTTCTTGAAACTCAGTTATGTGATCCACTTGTTGAAACCCAGTATCTTGACAGTGGGCTTCCCACACAAGCACCATCTTTAGAAGGGCATCAACTCCCAAGCCCGTTTTCAGATAGCAAAGTCTCTTTCAAAGCCCTGTTTCTATGTGACAAAGACTTTTGAAATGAAGATAGCAGGTTTGGCACAGGTTTTTGGGTTTGGCCTTCTCAGCTTTTCTTTAAATAGTAACTTTGGCGGCACCAGGATTCTTGTATTCTAATTACATATGGCAGGTTTTTTGGCAATTAGTAAATCTCTGTCAGAGGGGATCTGGGGTTTTAATCAGTAAAAACTACCAGAAGAAAGTGCTGCAATTCGTCCAAGATTGCTGTATACCTGTAATTCAGTGACATCAGTGAGGAAGTTGAAAAGTATTCAGGATGTTCCAGTACTGACTTTGGGGTGGCATGTGCATAGCCAGTTTCTTCAGGGCCTCAGGAAGATGTGCAGAAGGCTAAACATACTTTCAGTTGCTTTGTCTAATATTGCTGCTGTTCACCTTACAGGGGAGATCCTGGCAAAGATCAACGTTCACTGCCCAGTGTTTGACTATGTCCCTCCAGAGCTCATTACTCTCTTCATTTCTAACATTGGGGGTAACGCGCCTTCCTACATCTACCGCCTCATGAGTGAGCTCTACCATCCAGATGACTATGAACTCTAGTGCCGTGAAGCATGTCACTCTCCAGACTCTTCCTATCTTTCTCTTTAGAAAGATACAACAGCTAATTAAAGTGTACATTGCAAAGATGGGTTGCTGTCGGGAACCGGTGGGGAATTTGCTCAGCAACATCTTCCCTACCCAAAAGCAACAGAAGGCAGAGGTCTTGTACAGGTGTTCATCTCTGTGCTGTGTTAGAAGCCACGTGGAGCTGCTAACCCACTTTGATTTTGAAACAGCAAGGCATACATGTAACTCTGGGGCAGCTAAGGTGTTACTTCAAAGTATGCTGCAATAAAGGCTGTTTACAGTGGTCTCACTGTTAAGCATGTTTTCCACATACAGTTACTTTGCTTCTTTAACTAGCAGGAGTTTTACCAGTGTAATGAGTTACCTGCACCTGTGATGCAGTAGCAGGCTTTAAGGTGTGCTTTCACAGAGGAATGTGATAGAAACCCACTTGGCAATTCTCTTAAAAATTGATTTTTTTTTTTAGTAGAATTTTCTGACAATTTTGGTGTGTTGCTGCCATACAAACCAGCTTTTTGTACAGTGCTGGAACAGACATTCCATTCTTGATGAAAGGTAGACCTTCAGAAGTCCCATCAGCTAGCTTGTTCACCTCCATGTCAGAAGGCAGCGCTCAAGCTCTTGCTCCACTTACTGCAGTCTGTGGGTCTGTCTTCTGTAAAAATTGAATGATTATTCTTCTTGGATGGACATCTTGTCTCATTCACAAAGTTCTTGATTGGAACATCTTAGAAATCTCAGGCTCTTGCAGGTCAGTCAGATCACTCTTCCTTAGTCCCTTTTATCAATGTATGGCAATACACTACACCACAGTTAAGGCATCAAATGAAAGTAGTTTCCACTCCTTGTTTTGCTTTTGGTTCAGCCGAATGATTTTTTTGATCAGGCTTAAAGTTGTATGTCTGTGATTAAACAAAGATGTCATCTTCTTTTACCGTACTAAAATAAACTCTACTCCTCTACCATAGAGTGAGACACAAAATATTGTAAAAAATGCCGTGGGGGTTAAGTTTCTGTGCCCTGAGAATGTGGGGCTATGCTAGGATTTAGAAATCTCTCACTCAAGAATGCAAACTGCAGGGAGCTGGAGAAAACAGCTGGGTGTGTCATTCATTGCCTAGTTAAATAAAAAGAATGTTTTTTGATCCTACGTTGGCCTATGTATACTGTGAAGCTGGTCAGTCCTCATTCCAACCACTGCCATGAGCCCAAGGAAAGAGTTTAGTGTTAATTTTATTAATAAATACATCCCCGATTCCAAAGCACTATAAAGTACCTTAATAAAAAGTGCAGAATCATGCTGTGCTTACAGAGAAAAAGCACTTTAGTAACTGCAAGCGGCTGCAACTTCTTGCCTCTGAAAGTCAAGCACTGACATAAGGCCTAGGCTTACAATGTAATTCCTTATGTTGAAGACGCTTCTCCAGGCTACAAGGGTGGGCTCTTCCTGCCACATTCTCCTGGCTGGTCTCTGCTTCTTAGGTCAGTACTTGGAGCAGAACTTTGGCGACCAGGCTGGCTCAGAAACTTGGCTCCGCACAGGGTATTGTTGTCCAACAACAAGGGAACCTGGATCATACCAACACTTCTAGTGGTTGCACCTTACAGTCTTATCTTCTTTTAATTAGGGTCTTTTTTTTCCAAATAGGTGCCATGCTCGCACCATCTTCCGCAGTCTAGCCAAATTAGGCTTAGGCTGGAGGGAGAAAAATTAAGAAGCACTAAATCACAACGTAAGTAAATGAGCTTCAATGCCTCCATACTCTTTGCCCTAATACAGTCATTCCCACACAAGTTTTTTTAATATCTAATTCAAAGTCCCACCCGACTTTCAACAGAATCCAATTTCATAACTTAATATAGTACAGTAATAGCAAACGGGAAGGAGTAATGATTTTTTTTTAATTTAAATGTTGCTATTTCTTTGCTTTTTTCCCCTGTTTTATAGCATCTTAAATTTTGGGGAAGTAGGCATTTGTTTAATTAGCATATTTGCTAGAATATCAGAATTTACATGCTTTCCAATTTTTATACTTAAAAACTGCAATCACTTTAAATATATGCTTAACTTCAAGGACTAGTGGACCCTATTGGAGTCAATGTGACCATTCAAATAAAATATGGTAAGATCCTTGCTAAAGTGTTTGCAGGACAGAGGTTTAATGTTCTAAAGTTTTATTTTATTGGTAACAGCTATGTAAAAATTCAAGTAATATACAGCGAGTGGTGATGGTTTCCAACTGGCCCATTCTAGTCCTAACACACGCATATGTGACATGCCTCTGATAATTCAGAGAGTGGATTATCATATCTGTGTCCCACACAGTACCTGCTTTTCCTCCTGTAGATGGTCTATGTCTGCAAGAGGCATCATGGAAGGTCTTCCATGAGCACACTGGAAGGGCAGCTGGCAAGATGACAAAGCTTCAATAAGCCTGCAGCTCTCCTCCAAAGTCAAATGCTCATTAAACTTAATAGCTCCTGGAAAAAAAAAAAAAAAAGATACAAATTCTTGCAAGCACTGCCAAAGAGAATTCAAACCACCCAGCAGGCTTCCCTCTACAGCTGTGGTTTTCACAGAAAACAAAGCAGCTCCCAAAGATGAGCTGTGAGGCTGCAAAGGCAGCCCAAGGGCTGCAGCATGGCAGATTTGGGGCTTAGCTCAATTAGCCAGCCTGCTGCATAAGGATGAGCTTTCCATGGCCTAAACTTTCATCTAACCCAAGTCTGATGGATGGTAAGATTACTAGGTCTTGGCTTTTCAGATGATGTTGCAAGAGGCAAATGGGCTTTTTTTTTTCTTTGTGTGTTTTACAGCTAAAGACACAACCAGTTCACAAATGAAAAAGTATTAAACCAAGACAACAGCTAATACCAGTTCCATGGGCTTTATCAGTTCTGTTATGCCTGCCACTGATAGGCATCAGTTCCAAGACCAAGTGCTAGCCCTGCCACTGAGTCCTCTCTCACAAAAGAGCACTTAATGGCGTCCAGAGGAAATCCAAGCAGAACATTAGGGAGTAATTTCAGAGGTGTCTGCAATCTTTAGCTTTCACAGATGCACAAGACCCATCTGCAGTCTGCCTTTCAGCCATGGGACTTTTTTAGATATAAAAAACCCGACATGTTGTCTGCCATTTGTAGAATGCAGTGACACTCCATGAAAATAGATGCTTTTGTTCCATGGTTCAGCTTCAGTGTAATCCCGTCCATACTGTACATGGCACAGGAACTGCCACAAGAGGCTAAAGCAGCCTACACCTGCAAGCTCTGCTCATTTCCAAGTGCTGGAAAGCCACAGTCCCTTAGAAGATGTAAATTCTTCCTGCACTCCTTTCAAAAATACTTGGAAGGTCACAGGCACACTT